ATACTTAACAATAACTGCATATACTATCATCAGATAAAGAAAAAAATAAGAGGAAAGATGTTTACAGAACTGTATATACTCAAGTTTTTTTCAAGTAGTGTTCAAGTTCAGATCAGTACACATTATAAAGGAAATTTGTTAAAAAGAAGCTTATCGACTACGAAAATCAATAAAAAAAACAAAACAGTAAATATTACCTTGGACAGGGGGAGATTTAAGAAGGTCCTCTGCAAAAAAAGGCGGTTGTAACTTTCACGTACTTCCCATTTCAATAACCTTGGTATATCACGGTCACCAACGGAGGTGCATATTACACCTTCAGCAGTGTCACACACCTCGTAGAACCACGTCTGGAGAGCCAAGATAAGGCCATAACACCTGTAAAGATATCCAGAACCCTCGGGCTTCTCGTAAATGTGCATTTGCTCTCTACTATGAATTGACTTCTTGAGATAGTAAAGAGTGAAATCAAAAACTTCTTTGCCCCAAGCATGGTCGTCGCATTCTGGACTGTCGATCAGGTCAACATAGCAGCGGTCAATGCGAAGGGCTTCTTGTGAGCCCATCAGGAAATTTGCCAGTAGGTGTAGCTTGGCAAATTTCACCGCATCCTCATCACAGGACCATGCTTTCTTGAGAAATTGCCACCTGATGTGGTTGCGGCTCAATTCTACACCATCCAGAAACTTGTCGTGTAAACCTCCAGAGATCTTTGGAATGTTCAGCTTTTTAGTTTTGCCAATGCATTTCAGTCCGGTTATAACAGCAAATTCCTCTATCCCGAAACGAAGTAACTTCCCTCCAAAATCGAACCAAACCTCATCGCTCCTATTCTGATGAACCTCGCGTAAGAGAATGTGATTGATGAGTTGGTTTTGTACTATGCAGTGAGGGAGATCAAGGAACTTCCCAAATGGTGTTCTCCTGAATGCTTCCAATTGTGCAGTCGTAAGAGTCCTCTTGATATCGTTAATCGTGGATCGATCTTTGCTGTTATCGTTGCTGTTTTGGACCTTGACATTTATGTCCCTGGGGTGCGGGATGAGCAATTGCCATTCCTGAAAAAATGAAAAAATAAAACACAATTAAATTATAAAAAAATTGCTCTGTTCAATATACTTATGATCTGTTCTGTGCAATATACTTAAAATATACTTACAACTATGCCCAACAAGGTGAAAAAAATGTTGTTCAATATAAGCATGTTCTGTTCAAAATCAATATACTTGTAAGTAATTGTTGAGTTACAAGTGTTCTGTTCAGATAAAAAAAAAAAAAAAAAAAAAAAA